CGTGGCCTGGAGATCAGTCACCCTGGGCGGAATCCCGCCTGGGCCCCGTGCAGGAAAACTCCCCCTGTAACCACATGGTGCCTGGGGCGGGGCAGCTCGCTCTGAAAGGCAGGCCGGGAAGACTGACAGGGCCGCCAGCACCGTTGCCTGGGTGACGGGACACATTGATAAAATCTAAAATGGAACCACGATGACAGTCGCTCATTGGCTGCCGGGAGGGGACTCCTGTCGCTAAGGAAGGAGGGGAGGGAAGCGGCTGGGCGTGGGACCGGGACCTGGAAGTCCCAGGGAATGACAGCAGCTCCCTGGGCCCAGCCTCCGGCTGTCCCCTTCCCTCCTGGCCGCCTGGCTTCTACTCCGACTCCCTGGGGCTCATTTCCCTGACACCGCAGGCCCAGGGACCTCCACACGTCGCTCTGCACCCACTGTGGCCCTGCTGACTGCCTGACCTCCGAGGCCCCGATGCCCAGACTGTCTGGCTACCACCACTGCTGTCTACGCAGCTCCCTCGGTCAGGGGTGGCCCCGACTGTCTCCGGAGCAGCCTGCCCTCCGCACCATCCTCAGGGCCTTCCACGGGCTGGAGGTGTCGTGTGAGCTCCCCCAGCTACAGGGGTCTGCGGGGCAGGTCGCACACTCCTCCCTGACCACTGCGCTCCCCAGTGGCGGTCACGCTGGCGGGCAGTGCCACACCTGTCCTCAGAGGAGGCCCCACTGCCCTCCACTCTCCCCGTCCCTGGAGTGGGCTGAGCACGCGAGCTGCCAGCCAGGGGGTGCCACCGGTGACGCCATCAGGGGACGTCACTGCCAGACAGCACTGGTGCCACAGAGGCTGGGCTCCCTGTGCTGAGCTGGGGCAGCCGGGGCTGGCGGGCCCGAGGCGGGGCCCACCTTACGCGAAGCGGGGGCCAAAACTCCTGGTCTCCAGGGAATCTCCCGTCTGCGGTTAGAAACGCACTCTATGGGGTCGGCCACCCTCCCCACAGGGCACAGGCAGCACAGAGAGCCTCTGGGGCGCCACAACGCGGACAGGGTGCTGCTGGCACCTCGTGGCATGTGGGTGTCACTAAGCACCCCACAGAGCACGGACAGCTCCCACCCCAGAGAGCAGCCGGCCCCGCGTGTGGCCGG